TCGATCTATTCTTTCTACTGTCTTTAGTCGTATTCTCTGGTTACACTCGAATAGTTGAGTAGTAGTATAGGGCTATAGACGAGTCATCAAAAGTAATTGCCTATACCTAATGTCGACATAGAATGTTTCAACTCTTGTTTAGTTTACTGAGAAATGGGGGAGGGGCATTATGTTCGCTTTAAGATTTTCCCAACACAGTTCAGTAAATCGAATTCTCTATCATAATGGAAAGAGGAGAGAATGCATTTCCTCTTCTCCCTTGAATGCCCCCATCTTTGCTCTCTCTTTCTTCCTGTCTCTCTCTATCTATCAATATCTCTCTTCTTGAGTGTTATATTCTACTCTGTTCTCCTAAATGTCTTTGTGTGCGTATTTCTGTCTCTCTTGTCTTCTTACCGATTTCGGCGGATGAAGTTATTCCTGGTATCCCACCTTCCACCACTCATTTTGATTTTCCCCATCTCCTCCAAGCCCCCCTCTCTCTCCCTCTCCTTCTCCCCCTCATCGTCCTCCTCCTCCCCCTCATCGTCCTCACCCTCCCCCTCATCGTCCTCACCCTCCCCCTCATCGTCCTCACCCTCCCCCTCGTCGTCCTCTTTCTCCTCTTCACCTCCTCCTCTTCTTCCTCACATCCTACTTTTTCTGTTCCTACTTCGCCTCCTCTTTTAATTTTCTCCCTTGTTTCCCCATACCTGTATATTCGATATTTAACTATGTATGTATGCATCTATATTATAATACTTATGTTATTAGTGATATATTTTGGCACACTAATGGAAACCTTATTTCTAGGTGCTATAAGGATCGATGAGAAATAATAATCTATCTGAATCTAACAAAGCTTTCACCCTGCGAAAGAAATGCCATTTACAGTAAATTCGTTCTTCCTTTATGCAATATGTCTTTATATTTGTTGGAATTACAGAAATACCCCTTGAAATATACTGAATGATACAATGAACAATCTCAATGCCATCGATAGATACCAAATTTATCGTAGATAGCCATTAGGTGAAATCTCTATAAATAAATAATAAATATACCATGAATTTGTCATACACCACGCTAGACCTGCTAGATGTGAACGAAGAAAATAGTCAAGAACTCCTAACCCAAACTGAATCATTTCAATGCATTAGTCAGCAGTGAAATTTACATAAACTGTGACTCTTTGGTTAATCAGGCCTTTTCCACCTTGCTTTTTGAAGTTCCTTCATGGCGACATAGCTGCCCCTGCCCCATGCTTACAAACGTTCCGGAAGCCTAGCTGACACGCCGTTTTTAAAGTGAAAATGTATTTGCATTTAACAATTTTTTTTTGTTCACGTACTTTCAAAACTACCGTAATGTGCAAGCCTGAACGACATATTCTAATTGTTTAAACATATAATGCCAAGAATCTGATATATTGTCAATATTTTCATTATTTTCTATCATTAAATTTGATTCATGTGGGTGCTTCTGCATCCTGGAGGAATGGTATATCGTTTTGTTTGATTGAAAATAACTATTTTATCTCTTCTCATTTTTTTGTTATAGTGTATTTCATGCCAATCCACGCACATTATCTCATCCCTGTTTACTATATACCACGTTCTCTGTCCTTTTGAAAGTTTTCTTTATGTCACCCACGTCTCTCTCCACTTTGTCTGAGACTTTACCTCCCCTTCTCCCTCCAGGTGTTCTTCTTCTACCCGTTCTTCTTAAACTCCCACCCACTTTCTTTATTTTTTTTTACCCGTGTCTCTCCTTGCCTCTTTCTCTCCCTCTGTATGCACTTTCTTCTATCTATCCTTACCCCTGCCTCATCTATTTCACTCACTCTCACATCTTATGTCTTTCTTCAACTGTATATTGATGTTTCTCCCTTCCACATTCTCTCTCTCTCTCTCTCTCTCTCTTTCTTTCTTCGGCATTCCTTTACCATCACTAATGCGAATCCACGCTCACTTTTTGATCCAATTTATTCTGCTTTGCCAAGGCTGAATGAAGGAGCGCCTATTTGATATATGTTTCAAGTGAATAGCATGCGATCAACGTCGTACTCAATGCTTCTCTCATTCACTTCACGGTTTCTTATCCAAGCCTCGCACTTGCATGTTTGACTTCACTTCTAAAAGGGGAAATTGATTAAACATCAAAGGTTTGGTCAGCTCGCTCATTTCGCCCGAATTCTCCTCATTCAATTCAATATAATATGTATAACCGAGAGTTGCCAAGGCAATTAATGTCCTAATGTTATTATGATTGATCAGTAGACTATCGACGATGCAATTATTCAAGGAAATTATGCTCGTTAAACGCATTTAGCAAATTAAGTCTTCTATTTTCTTGCTTGGTGTAACCCTTTCTCTTTCTCGCGTTGCTCCCAGCAACATGAGCTTATCCAAGGGGTGAATTATGCGATTCATGGCGCCGAAAACACGACATATTATATCCGTCTGTTTACGACCCCCCCCCCCCCCCCCCCCCCCTCCTAGGAAAGTACAATACATGTATATTGCTACCTGCCGCTTTCCGAGAAGGGTGGTTCGAACGAGTGGAGCTTAGTGGAAGCGTGTCGGCGTGACAGTAGACGAAGGAGCCGCTGAGACGAGGAATCTATCTGGTAGAAACAATTGAGTAGTCGAAACGTGACATGCATCACAAAGAACGCATTATTTAGGCCAGAGGGTTGTGTATATTTGGCCGATTTACAAGTTTATTCTCCGGTCTAGAGATAAACAGAGTATTTACGATCAGACGAACACAATTTCAGATCGCGGGAAATAAATAGAACTTTGAAAGCAGACAAGCTCGATTCTCCTTATATTCCACATAACATTACAGCCGTAGCCAGAAAACTTTTTTGGGGGTACAGATATGCAACATACATATAAATAAAAATAAGCACTCAGATAACAAAACTGCATAATACAGTTTAGATAAAATAATAGGCTTACTGCAATATAATATTATACTGGCGCGTGCATTGCCTACATATAGGCTTAATAACACAGTCGAATGGCGCCTGAGGGCAACGGACATAAGGGTGCATGATTCTATCCTCTTTCACTGACTCATACAGACGCGAATTAGCCAAAATATATTATTTGATACATTCTGATATCCTTTAACAACGACGGCTTCAAACCGTCACCGACTTATCATTTATGATCTAAAAACAGGCGGAATGCGGCGAACAGTATACGACTTGTCGATTCCATTTGCTTTTCAAATTCGTCAAGAAATCGTACACGACGTCCCTCCTGAATTGCACCCAATTTAGAAATGAATCGGCATCCTCTAAAGGGTCTACCTAATCCCAAGATTGCCCAATTCAATCCCACAAATGTGATTGATATTTGTGAATAAGAACCATACAGACACATTAATGCAATAAGACACGCATGCCCCTTTTGTTCTGGGAATAGAGATTGTATGATATCAGAGTAAAGAATAGAGTATTAGAGATCAGAAGGTAAATACGATGTTGGTATCAGTCTCTTTTATTTTACCCTTTTATTCTGAATAAATCCGATTATTGTCCCAGCTCCTTCGTATCTCTGGGTCAACTCTATTATTTGCAAACCTTCTGGTAATGCGATAATCTCGAAATACAAAGATACTTCTTAAAAGCGGGGAAACTAGAATTATATGAAGAGACGGAAATATATTTTCAGATAATTGTTTTGTTTTGTTTAATATGATAATATCTGCACACTGAGGAAAATATTTTACACAAACGGTTCAAAATCAACATATTTATGGTTTAATTTTGCTGCTAGCGTACCATCAGGGATGCAAATTATAATCTTCATATATTAGTGTGCATCGACAAATTGTGTAGATGCTAAAGAAAAGAGGGTCGGGATTCTTCTGGAGATGATAAATAATGGCATTTTCCCAACCTGTAGTTTAAGGGCTTCCTAACAATTTCTAATAATGGAAAATTATTGTATTGATCTGATTTAACATCGAACTGGGTTTATTTTGAAGACGACAGTTTAGGTCATTTTTCTATACATTCTCACAATTGTTGCTCGCTTGGTTCACTCGCTTGCAAGATTTAAGAAGCTGATAATGTGATAATGCCTCCCTTCCTCCTCCCCAGCGAAATTATCACTGTACGCCTGCACCGTAAGCGAAAGCAAGCATCATGGCCAAACAAAATGCACCCACTTATTTTGAGCACACAACCATAGCCATATGTGGCGAAACCTCTTTACAATAAAAAGTATATTCTAACGTTTCAAACTGACCAGAAAGATTTGCTCACCACACAATCAAGTTATTCGTTAATACATTTATGTGTTTCAATCCCTTTATCAAATCACAAAGTCTTAGATTATCTGTTTGAAAATCAAATTATATCAATATCTTTTGTTTGTGGGGATAGGACCTGTATTGACTATGATTTTAACTGTTCATGTACATACAATATGGTAGTTTATCGGATGTCTTCTCGATGGGAATAATTTTTTTTATTTCTTTGTATTTTCATCTCAAGATTTATGAAGGCCTTTCCAAAATTAATCAATAGGAAGTTTATTTAATATTATGACCAAATTTACTGAGATTATTTCCTCCGTTAGCTCTATGTTTGACAAACTGCCCGACGTTACATTTTGCTTGAAGCATGGCATGAGCGGATTTTGGTTTAATCTTTAAGGAGGGGGGGGGGGGGATGGCAGGATGCTGAAAATTGCCAAATTTTGTTCTAAATGACTGTTAAGAAAGCATGTGTATGCTTGTAAGTAGGCAACCAGAGGACTGACGGCGTTAAGACCTCTTCAAGAGTACCAGTGCATCGATTCGGTTTCGAAGCCGAGACCTCGCGGTTACGTGAACGCTGCTCTACCTCACAGCCATCACGACTCCTTTTACTTAAGATATGCCAAGTTGGATTCATCAAGGGGGAAGGTCCCCCCCCCCCCCCCATCCGTCATTATCTTAATTCAAAGGCATTCTCCTACTACAATAACGGAGGAACTGTAGAAATGTTAAACGGTCGATCTTACCTTGAAAACTACACGTTCGCTGATGTAAGAGGAAAGTATTGGTATAGGCTTGGCCACATCCACCTGTGGGGAAAATGAAAGAAAAGAGGTCTTGTAAATAATAATAATGTGATAACAAGTTATAAAATTCTCATTACACATCATATTTAGCAAAAATAAGAGAGTGGTGGTCTATTTTGTGTAGAATTTATTCATCAGAAGAAAAGAAATCGCAAGGACTCCGAGAAATCGCTGCTATTACTTTCAAAATCCCTTTCCATAGGAACATTACCCTGGCATATTACGTAATGATAACGTGAGGCAAACGTGAGGTAGTTAGTTATCTGATGTATACTCTATAGAACTCTGGCTATCTTGTTGTTGTTGTGCTTTTTGAGATAGATATTTTTACATTCGCTTTGGATCCTTTCCCACCCAAATCCGGAAAAATTATATCAGGTTAACTCAACATCTACTTACTTATGGAACGCCTGAATATCAAGTAATTTATTATGCATCATTGCTCAATATGCTGCATTATTGTAGAGCGCTCAGAGACTTCTGATAAAGTAAGTGTTAGGCGCTATATAAGCAAGGATAATAATTATTATTATTATTATTGAAAAGAATCTTTATTAGTAAATTGTAAGTTTGAAATTAATATAATGATTACATGATTACATGATTGCATTATAGTCCCTTGATGACGAACCTTTAGCCTTTTGTATAGGGATAGAAAGAATGCTCTCACCCATTTAGTCGGGCATAAATCAGTCCGCGGGTTTGGTCGCTTTTATCATAACCGACTTTCATCTAGAAAGTACAGATATACACTACCCCACAAAATTGTTAATTCTCCTTTTCCAGAAATAAACAGGGAGAGATGAAATGTCATCCAAATTATAATCTTTGAGAATATAATCAAGAGCAATCGTGTTAATATTCAAAGATAATATTTTGTTCGATAGATGAGAGAGGATGCTCGCGAAGGGGGAAAACACAAGTGGGTTAATAACACGTAATCCCTTCAGGGTTCTGGTGATGAATGGAAGACAAAGAAAAAAGGGCCCGTGCTCTCCACACATCAATGAAACAATCTCGCCCTTGACAGAGTCACAAAATAGTCGTGCTGAACACGCTCTCCTATCAAATAATACCAGGTCCGTTGATACCATTGAGGAATAAATCATGTCTGAAATTCATTTGATGATGCCCACGGTGTAAGTGGGTAAAGAAGGGATAGGTTGTCTTTTCCTCAAACTGGATCAACGATGGTGGATTCTTGATTTGTTGAAGGTGGGTCTCCATCACGGATGTTATTTCAGTCAGGTTCCATGGATATTTTTACGACAAGCCCACTTCTTGCAGGGAGTCAATAACATCACAGAGCTATGTGATAAATTTTGTTTCTTCACGTAGCAGTGGCGTAGCCACACGGGCTATTGAATGCACGCGCCACCAATATTGAATGACACAACAAAAAAAAAACGAACAAAAAAGGGAAAAGGGAGAGTAAAAAAGGAAGGAGGGCAAGACTAAGTATAACATAATAAAATAAATAAATGAATTAATTAATTAACTAATTAATAAATGTATGATGCGCTCGTTCTCTTAATATTACTATCAATTTGTTGTTGTTGTTTTCGTAATTGTTAAAAATTTTCCCCAAATATAGGAATGCAAATAAAAGCAAATGCACTGTAATAAACAAAACAATGTGGGCGGGGCAGGATCATTGGGGTCGAGTCATTGATGACGTTAACAGACATTAACGTTAACCTGGGAGAAATATTATTAACAATATCACCATCGTAAAAAACCTTCAGCATCTTTCCAAGTGTCGGTCGGGATCATGCCCGATTGGATGATATGCGGGTTCGCCGTGGAAGAGCACGATTTCCCGCAGTGACGTGAACAAACTTCTTCCAATACAATACACACCATTCATTTGCATGTCTGTTCATCTTAAAAGAGGTGTAGTAGTGTAATGCGCACTGTGTACGTCATAGGGTTGTATAATATTAGCGCACCCTCGAGGAGAGGGTGCTGCAGGTGCAACTTTAATGGCCGTTGCACACGAGGAGTCATAAGCCTGACGTAGGATTGCGTCAAGGATTGTTACGGTCCTTTAATGCTCCTGATGAAAGCGGTGCTGTACAAGAGCGGGTGCAATGTGAACAACATTGAAATTGAAATAATGGCGTATTCTATTTGCCTTCGTAAGCTTGACTAGCACAAGAAACAGCGCATTTGAATTGACGCTTCCTGTACAACGGGCGCTATAACCTGTTGCCATTATGACCATATTGATATAAATCTAATTTCGTGAAGGTCAAGTGATATATCGATTATTTGAAATATGTACGCAAGCCGAATACCAGGGGGAGGGGGGGGGGGGCATCACTTTATTTGTGAAGCATAATGCCACAGGGATAACGGAGCTGTATAGGTATGCATACTATGTTACATGTAATAAAACAATTTATAAAATGGGTTCAAGAATGTAGCCAATGAGAAGCGTCGAAATGGATCACGTGTGCGTGCATTTACTTTTATCATATGCACGGGAAGTGATAACAACTGTTAATTCTCGACTTTAATGTAGACCCATCTTATAAAACAAATAATACATGTTTTTAGCTCGTGCATTATTGATATGCACTAATGCACTCGTAAACATGTATTATTTGTATACGAGACTAGACTACTAGATATGATAAACGGAAAAAAATGTGCCCCATCAAGTCGGTATGAATAATTCAACAAAATGTTGAGATTTACAAGCAGGCGTCTCGGTTAAAAACATTGAATAATTATGCTCAGTGATACGGCACATTGTTGGTTTTAAGAACCTGATAATTATCCATTGTGTGGCGTGAGAGCGATGATTGAATACCAATAAGTTGAAGGTTAATACTATTGCTCATATCTCATAGCCCCGTATGATCTTACTTACTTCTGGAAAGGACACGATAAACAGTAACCAATCATGCATAATAGGAAAGACCGCTTAAGGCAACTCGAACATTTTGCTCGTTCAGGGTGTCTATTAAAGGAATCATTTATAAAACACTATTTTTTCCTTTGGTGAAAAATTTAATTCAAAGTGTACATTATACACCAGTTTACCAGTGTTCTGAAATCCGTCCTCAATCAATAAGACATTAAAGAGCATTTTGTATTCTTAGTAGGCCTACTTAGTACTTAGTTTCTAAATATTCCTTTGCATTTTGGTGACATTAACAATAACATTTGCATGTGTATTTTTAATCATTACGAATTATTCGCTAACTCCTCGGCAGTATTTGAGGAAGATTTATGCACGGTTCCTTTCACTTCCTTTAAAGATGTCATTACATTTCGTATTTTTAAATCTTATAGAGTTATTATTTAACTTCTTTTTCCTTTCGATAGTACGGTAATTTAGCGCATCTGTTTTCGCAGCAGGTTGATCTTACATCCCACTGGACCGAGGAGAAACATACGCTCATTCTTCGGGGATGTATATTTAGAATGAGCTTTTAAGGAATAAAATCTAATGCAGTAAGGAAGATACACCCATGAACTATGTTGACAGTGGAGAGAATAAATCTATTTGTTTAACGTTCAATTTGTTTTCCTCTCCACCTCCTCCTCCTCCTCCTCCTCCTCCTCCTCCACTACCTAGCTGCAGGATGCGTTCCTGTCTAGAGTAACATGAAAACATTTTCGGTACAACAGGTGCATTTCATGAGCAGCCCGGATACAACATCCACCGCCCCCTTCTGGGATTAATACCAACCCATTCCGACCACTGATTGTCAATATTTGGATACATCACATGTGATGTGTACGGCTATGAAACGTTAGAGTTCACGTGACTATTCTGATGAATTATTGATAGTTTTAAAAAAGCACATGGAAGTGCTCCCCGATTTGGAATCTCTTCTTTGTGCGCCAGCCAAACTTTAAGAAGTTGTTTGCAGAAGTAGCCAGTGGTCACTTAAGGGCAGAAATATCTTCAGTAATCCCAGTATTGTTGATTAGACCCTCATGTCATACACTGTAAAACAGTAAGTTCTAGTGTTCCGTTCTTTTAACTCACCAGTTCCCGATTGTATGCATGCTTTTCTTGTTGCAGTAGCTTCGGCACTTGCTGTTCTCCTGCAATCGAGTGACTCTCCTAAAGTGAAATGGAAAAGATTATACCAATTGTTAAAGTGATTTCATTTTAAATATTACAAATTTAGACATTCGTACACCAAGAGGGAAGACATATGAAAGGAATTACAAGTAATTTTTCGTGCAAATAACCATGGTAGATAATGCATTGCCTCTTAAAGGTACACACGACATACCATTTTGTTATAATTCACCGTCAGATAAAATTGCTGCTAATTTGAGAACTGAGCAAAGCCCTCAAGACCTGCACATTTCTTCGGACCAATCATTCAATTTGCTATTTAATTACCATTCAGTCTGTGCTACATACATGACAAACATTCATACGCTATTTAATACTTTTCTTCATGACAATTTCTTGCCTATATATCATCGACATATTACCATGCAATTCAGTTGAATATAAGAAAAATTCTAAGAACAGGTAAACCAGATCTAAGATGTATGCATCATGCAGTAACGTAGCCGAGGGTTTTACAATGTAATAGGCTTCTCAATCGTATATGTAGAATCATGTAAGGATCTCGAAAGTATCACTTAAATGACCGCCAAAAAGTAGAACAGTGTGTGTACTTTATTATTTTACATTTGTCTGTTATGACATAAAATCTATGTTCAACCATCCGCAGAAATAGCCGTTTCAAAGCTTGGTTGAGAAAGGAATTTTTTTTTTCTCGATTAAAAATGGAGAGAAAAGATGTTAATAGCGCCCGTGAAACCAAGCGTTTGAAATCCCAAGGTGGACATTGTAAAAGAGTATCCATTGTGTGGTGCGGCATTTAAAAATGGGATTGATGATTATGATATGTCTCGAGTATGTCTTGAAAAAGAACTGCAGCATGATGCTCAAGAACACGTCGTATGAATTTTAAAATTTCTTTAGATAACGTAAAAGCATAAGAAGAGAAGAAACTTGCAAAAAAGGTAGGCAAAATCATCTTTCAGATTGAAGAAATTACTCTCTCTCTCTCTCTCTCTCTCTCTCCTTCTCTCTCATCTTTCTCTGTCCTCTCTCTGCCTCTCTCCATCTCTCTTTCTCTCTCTGTCTCTCTGTCTCTCTCTCCCTCTTTTAACCTCATTGTCCTAAGCGAACTGGTAATTTTACATTCCATCCATTCAGACTACTTTATAGTATTAACTTCATTTTCGGGAACCGAGGTGGACTGATAATTCCCCCAAATTCCTCATATCTTACATAATAATGGACATTATAAACAACACTAAGATTTTATAAACAGAATAACAAGACATATAGCTTTTAGCTTTAAACTACAGTTAATGCCATATCATATCGAGGGATACTACTCGATACTATATGATTACAAAAAATACAGTCTTGGTAAGGTTGATGTTGGTGTTGTTGTTACTGCTGCTGCTATTGTTGTTGTTGTTGTTGTTGTTGTTGTTGTTTGCGATATATGGTCATACTGGAAGAAAAAGTTTCTGGGTCATTATAGAAAAGATTACAAAATAATGGTGGTAATTTTGCTGGAGGCCTTTGAAATGCTTAGCTCGCATATTAAATTGTGAATTATTAAATTATTTGATGAACTTTGATCGCTCATCAAAGAGAGACATTTGACAGTCATTGTGGATTAAAGAATAGAACGCTGTATTGATGAAATAGAAGGGTCACACGAACATGACAGGAAACACAGCTAATGTTTAACCTACATCCCTCTACTGAAAGACATTGAGTAATCTAATTACCCGAAATCCTTAGGGAATAGTGAATGTGTTGGCTTTTGCAGACGGGGCCCACGCATTAGTGTCAAAATTAGAAACATCACAGGAACGAGATTGTAAACAGTTTACCTGATTACGGCACGTTCACCATTGATATTATTTTAAGGATAATAATGAAAGAAAAGGTTTAATGAGGGGAAATAGGACAAGGTGAAGGCGGGAAAGTGAGGAATTCGTGTTTAGGGATTCGTGACAACATGACGTCATCTGTGTCCGAACCCGGCGGTTTTCTTTCTTGGCGTGCATGGGCTAGCCAGCTACCGCAGACGATTCAGCAAGACAGGCAGGATGTGACAGATTGTTACCCCTAATGAAAGCCCGCCCAAAATACACCTTGGAGAAGTTCACGTTCTCACCTGGCAGTTCTTACAATATTTAGACAACGATCACCTGCAGGCAACAAGGCGGAAGGAGACGGCGTAGCCGGAAGAGACCTGCTAACCAGAACACGACATGGGTAGATGTGATCTATCCCATGCAGTATATCCTTGTTGTCATCTTCATCATCGCCTTTTCTTCTTTTTTTGCGACGCCAAATTTGATTCGGGTGCAGATAACGGAGAAAAATGCCAAAGATTCATTTGTTACGACTCTTTCGCCTCTGGAAAAGCTTATTTTGAGAACCAATATATGTTTAATTTTAATTTTTAATTTTTTTGGGGGCTGCATTTTGACAGAAACTTGATTAAAATTCTGAATGCAGTAAATAGAAACAAGAAAAGAAAAATTCCTACTGAAAACTGCAATCACATCTTACTCGGTCTGAGACAGATGACATCTCAAGTACTTAAATTATCTTCACGTTCCACTATTGTACTATGAATATATACCAATTTAAGGAACATAATAATTATTATGGTTTATATCCAGTCTTGAAAATTCAGCATAGGTTCCATTTGATTGCGAAAATGTTAGTATTCATGTAATAACCAGACCTTTAAGATTACCTTCTATAAACAAATCGTGTATTGAATTATCAACCATTATCTAATATCTTCATTTCGATTCTATTTAAAAATCGGGATATCGAAGTTGTCGATCGACTTCCTACTCGTCGATAAAAACAAACACATATCAAGCAAGACTTGGTTACATTGATCGATGTATTAAGGAATGTTCTAGGAATTGGCAGAGTGTTCACTCTATCGTAACTTTAATCTGATAATGTTGTATACTAGCATTTATGTATGAGGAGCGATCAATATCTTCATAGTATCATTTTCCATTAATTTGAAAGCCTAAACTTTCCTGACCGAATGTTGCGTGCATGATCATTTTTTGGAGAGAGTGATATACCAATATTCAAAAGCGATAGAAAAATAGAGGTACTTGTCTAAAGAAATTCCCATATAAGAAGGAAGGGTAGCTCTTCCCATCTGTACTACCACTATTATGCATCACGTCACTTTAGGAGAGGTTTCCCCCTCCTCCCTCCCGTCTTATCACCCGAAGCCTTCGTAATTGACAAGGAATGCGTTGGTTTGGGGGCACCTTGTGGTTTAGAGTAAGGCGTGTAATTTTGCCATAATACCATTAATATACAAGCAACCTGAAGATTGTGGTTAATAAGACGGAAAACGTGTCGTTCCCTCGGGAAACCCCGCAGGGGCCGTCTTTCATCTCTCTCCAAACATCCCGACACAACAACCAAACCGTCTTTCCAAATGTAGGAGAGAATCGTTAATTCATTCAATGATTTAGAACGATTAAGATGACAAACATGTAAGGAGGCGCGATAGCCAAGTCGGTATAAGCAATGGTCTCGTACACCGGTGACCCGGGTTTGAAACTAAGGCAATGCGCTAGTGCCCTTTGGTAAGGCATTAATCTTCATTACCAGGTCCCTTGGAGAGGACCTAAAGCCGTCGGTCGTCTGGTTGCTTACTTACAAGCATTTAAGCAGTCACTTAAAATAACCACCATCACGATGTTATTTAAACTTCAAACTTCGTGTTGCGCTAAATCGTATTCCGTTTTATGATATATTAAGTGCATCATTGTTTATCCTCGAATGGTGTCCTACGACGCGTTACTAGTCGGGCTTTATTTAATTCAGAAAGTTCTTTATTTCAGACTTCCTGTACGGAGGGGGGGGGGGGTGCTGATTGAACCAAGAATGTATCAGGTTACGCATTATTTTAGAGGTTTATTAATCAGTAATCTTCAGAGTGGTAAACCGTACCAACATGACTTCGTCATTGACCTACCTGACGAAATTATCTGGGAATAGACCTGATCTAGGTGAGATATAAAGTCATTCAAGCTTTACGAATGAATTCCGGTGACAAAGGTTGCTCCTTGCTCAACTTCCGGCACAAATCGACTTTCTCTATTTGAATATCCCGTTGACCCTACGTGCTATAATCCTTACCCTAACGATACAAGAAATTGCGAGCCAGGAACCTTCAAGTTGAAGTGCACTATTCTATCGACAGAACGCCAAATAAAACATCGATATTTCTCGTCTAGCCTTCTATTTAAGTATATTTGTTTATTCGTATTCCGTTTATTCCGCCAGTGACTATTTCCGTACGTATTCGTATAATACGTGAAATATAGGCCGCTTCCCTAATACGAACAAATAATGTTTGGCCTAAGGCTTGTAAGGATGACCTATCATTTCAAAGGGCGTTCGATGTTTTTGTACTACGTGCAAGTCCATGATCAATTATTCTCATTCTATCATTCCATACACGACCTACCTTGAATCTATTTGTTTTTCATTAGAATGGAGACAAATCACCAAAATAACACGGTTTCCCTTTCTCAAATTAGCGAGGAGAAGGGATGCACGGGGCCTTGGAATCTATATCCATCTGCCCCTGAAAGCATAAACTCTAACGATGAAGCGAAAGCATGCGGGTACCATCCCGATACCATGCGGATAGCTAGATCCCGGGCTATTGCGTTTAGCTCGGGTAAATCCACATTCTCCCGCGGCTTTCGAGTGTAATTATCATGAAACAGAATCACTTTCTTCGAGTCAACGCGGATTATTTGGATTTCATCGAAGATTTGCTTCCAGTCATGATAACCCACTGCTTACTTGAGATCATATATCAAGGATTGAATCTCTATCAAAATAAGGGCCACGCTTAAAGCTCCAGCCTTAACAGTCATCTATCCTAGATCTTTGTCACTTTAATTATTCCACTAGTGAGAATTCCGCATTTCTTTGCCAAAAGATTCATCACTGCACTCTCAAGATCTAAAAGAAGAAATCGTATTTTCTGTCAGTGAAAGCACTCTCCTTGGGGGAAAAATCGGAACTTGCTCCATGTAATACTTTAAATATAGACCGGAACGGTGTGCAAATATGTTTAGAAAACAATACAACAGCAAAACAAACCTTTATTACTGATAAGGAATGGCAATGAGCAAAAATGCCTCAAACGCCTACGTATTTTTAATCATTTAAATTAACAACGTTTGATTGAAAGGTCGTGATTTTAACCCATTGCTTACTGGAACCTGGTGGTCCATGTGCAAAGCCAATGGGAATAAGATAAGTCAGTAGTCAACGGGTTAAGAACTACAGGCTACTGCTGAATGTTTCAGTAAAGAAATATATTTCATTAGATTGGACATTCTTTAACAGGAACGCTCATGTTCCGATCTACCAACCATTAAAACACGTTCAATGTTTTGAAGTTCATGCTAAAAATATATAACGCAAGCGTAAATAATTCCTACTTCATGTTTGGTAAATGGAACATAAAACAAAGACATTTTAATAGCCATGATGGTTGTAAAGCAAGAAGAAGTCCCATTATATTTTTTCTTAAGAAATAGCAACTACAATCGTTGTTCCCGCCCACACCGCTTCAAGCGAGTGAAATCGTGAGGGTGAATAGCAAAAAGAATAAATGTTTTCTTTTACTATTTGCTAGTTCCACTCTCGTGGTCCTTAAAATAGTCACGTAGAATTGGGAAAGTAAATTTCTTCGTTTGCGCAGTTGTAATAGTTGACTTTGTATTGTACTCACGTTTCCAAATGTAACGTTGTATTTGCAATCTTATTACCTAGCTCTTGTGTTGTCATTTGCGATAGAAATATGACCAAGATTTGCCAATGACCTGTCCAAATTTGGCCACATACTTTGCACCTTTCAATGAATTTCAATGAATTGTGTAAGAATTCACACATAAAACATCCGTGAGACCACTCCTCAATCACTAGACAATTTGATTGACATGACATTGTACAAGCACCATAACTACACTATAATACAATGTAACGACAAACATTCAAAACGAGAATGAAACAAAAACCAGCATGATTACAAACAACGGTACAAGTTTATATACAATCTGAGAAACGACAACTATTCGTCAAAGATCGAAGGAAACTACATCAATACTTTTAGAAATTAGATTAAACGGTGCAGAGCCTTTTCCAGAAAGTGCATGTTAGTACATAATCATGTAGGGGTTCAAACAACTAAATCGTAGAACAGCTGGAGTGAGGTAATGTTAGTACATCGAAGCAAAATTGAATGTTAGTACATAATATGAAACAGAGTTAGTAAAGCATTTATATATTAAAACCATGTGGAGTATCATTATCATTATATCATTAACTTCATAGCTATCGTTAATAGCACAATAATCCCACATACATAAACGGCATTGCGTTTTTTTTTGGTAACAACAGTCTGGAATATAACAATAGATAGGAACATAATTCTAAACTATAAATATGATATATTCCACACTTTAGTCACATTCTCCTTTAAGGTTTTCGCCTTTTCTTTACTTTTTTTTCTCACTCCAAGTTTCCTGTCTTTCTCTCTATCTCATTCTCTATATGTTGTCAGCTCTTCCTCTTTCTCTCTCTTCTCACCTGGTACCTGAACACGCTCATTGTCAGGCTTGATCAAACAAACCCAATGCCTTGTTTGTTTATTTTTGAGTCCTCGCTTTTTCTTACTGCTCTAGTTTCGTGTATTTAATCATGAGTGATTCAAATAGGAACGTTCACCATATAATAACTTTCACACCCCTTTAACTGATAGTTGTGCCTGAGAGTTTGTGTAAATTTTGCTCTCTTTGGCTCGTAGCTGTATTAATTTTTTTGTCACAATTCATGAGCTCTCTTGAGTGTCTTTTGAAATCTGAGATGGAGACCCGCATTATGTAAATAAAGGTGTATTGGTAGAAAGTTAACTTGCACGTTTCCAACAATGCCTGAAAAAATAATGTGGAACCTCTCTAAATATTACCCTACTATATTTTGTTTAGATATAAGCCACCTTGCCAACTAGCTTTGCTCATACTCGAACTGCCTCAAAAATCCGTGCGGCAAAATGAGATTACATAAGCATAGGGCACGTCAAAATCTCTCTTATTTCACTCAGATCACTATGTATATTATGCCATGACGTATTTTTTTCCTTTTTATATTTTCTTTTTCCTTCATGTGGTTTTAAGTCTCAATCAAATAAAATGAGGTAAACCGCCTGAGAAGAATAAATGAATACATAAATAAATAAATGAATACTAAATGAATAAGTAAATAAATGAAGAGCAGAAACACCGCTGCAAAGCCGAATCACTTGACGCGTAAATGAATGGTAAGTTGGGTTAAAATTATTGTGACTGCTGTCAACAATTTATTAAAGCACAGTCGCGTATCTGAGTGTTAAAATTAACATAAATACGTATAGCGCTTTACGTGTATGTCCTGGAATACCACGGAGGTATTTATTGTCATGTGTAAACGGGAATTGCAGTGTAATAACTTCGACAGTGGTCATTATATACGAATGATTATAACAAAAAGTAAATGTAACCTTACTTAAGCATGCTGTTGCTTTTCTAAACAATGGCATATCAACCATACTAAATACAGGTATTTAAGACCCGTTCCATGCTTTTGAGGGGGTGTTACGACCTGCTTTCAAATATATATTACTTACGAAATAAGAGACGATTAATGTAATAAAAAGGGATAACTATTTACAGATCTAATAAACGAGGAGGATACCTGAGAGAGGGGAGTGAGTGATAGAAGGATAGAGTGGGTGGCATTCAAACATACAGTTTTAAAGAAAAAGAAAGGGGGAAGAAAAATCAGATTGGGGGAGGGAAAGACGGAAAATATTTTTACAGGAATATACCCTCGCTGTTGTTGGTAAATAAGGACACGGGTCAAAATGCATTGCGGATATTTTACTTGTAAAATGACACTATTTTTATGCATAAAATAAAAAAAAGACATATTCATACCCTACAACTCATGGATGAATATTTGTTCTCTAAAATACTATCTGCATATTGTTTCTCCCTCTTTATACTCTCTATTCCTCTCGCGCTCTCTCTCTCTCTCTCTCTCTCTCTCTCTCTCTCTCTCTCTCTCTCCCTCTCTTACTCTCTCTATATATATCTCTCCCTCTATCTCCTTCTATCTCTCCTCTCTATCCTCACCTTCCTCACTCTTCAGACATTCTCCTAGTATTTGGGCAAGTCCAAGGAATGTGATCATTATCGTTACCAATCCTACCGCCTTGATGTTACCAAGTATGCTAGAGATCCAAACGTACACTGACATTCAACGTGTCATTTCACTTCAGAATATATACATATTTCGTGTGATCTAACTCTAGCAGAATTATTATACAATCACAGTCATGTACAGCTTTTAGATCTTGTTGGTAACGTATGTGACAATAATAACTTGAACTTGCCCATTTACGAAATCAAGTGCCTTCCAAAATTTTGAAATAACATCGACAAAAATTGTTAGTATCGTGAAGTGTCGTACGAAAATATCACTGATCGATCAGGGTGGATTATAAAAGGAGAATGAAACTCAACAAACATTTGCTGATAATCTTGTTCAAATTGTCAGCCAGTTCAAAATATCTTGAAATTACTCCTATTTGATCACATATCAAAGAATTTTTATTTTGCAGTTTCCATGCTAGACAGTCTCCCATGGTAGCTGCCATTTTTTAAAATCAAGGTAATGATATCAGAGTAGTACAAGTCCATTGAACTGCAGAAAATGAATAGGGTGTTGCATAATGACTGGGTGTTGTACACCAAATAAAATATTATTTTTTTAAAGATATTTTTAACTGACTCACAATTCTTAATGAGACTGTCAGTTAAAGTTTGTTGGGTTTCATTTTCCTTTAAGTGTGCTGAAGGAGGGTTAAGTGCTCGTTGTGATAGGGTTAGTTAGATGAGATCTCAGACACATAGTACGGAGGATCATTCCGTACATCAAAACACCGTACTTACCTAATAAGTCTTCCGGACTCGAAAATGAATAAGCTGCTTTAATACACAGAATACATAGATAATGTCAATACAAACCAAAAATTTGAGACATATAGAGAGACCGAAGAAAGTTTTCCCCATTAGGTTTCTCAAAAAAAGGGACCTTGATTGACACTGGCTTACATCCAAGTAAAACATTGTATACAATTAATTACAGTATGTGCAAAATTGGAAACAATACAAATGTATACCTACCTCTCAGCACATTGTCGTTATGTATACATTTTGTATTAGGCTAAAACTTATTTGAAATGTAAGATAACAATAGAAAAGATTTCGATAATATTTATGAAATGCTTATAACAGTATTCTTCCAAGAAACATAATGCAATGATATGCCTACTTAACGTACGAAACGAAACTGTTACAACCTACAAGACATATATCTTTAATATAATTGATAACATTTCCATTTCAAATACTACTTCTATTATCAAATATCCCGAAAAAGTGCTCTTTTCTGATTATCCGGAGAGTAAGCTGAAAGAAGTAAAATGATTTGCTTAAGTATTCATAACTTTATATCTAGTTATTAAAACGCGATGACCTGGTGTGAGTGTGTGTACGTGCGTGAGTGCGTGTGTATGTGTTGTGTACGCGTCAAACTTACTTATCTTGACTGTCCATGAACCTGAGACATGAACGTTTGAACATGACCTTGATTGCAAGACATAGTTTTATTGTAATATTTTACTCAACAGGGGCTCACATCCTTTTCACGAGGAGGTGCTTTACTTTTGCAAGTATTGTCCAACTCTGAGCACTTAATCCTAGTATTTTAAACGTAATATCCAAAATCTACTGGCCTTGGACTTACGGGCATTTTTATTTCTGCCTGGATGCCTTGAATGAAAGCATTTTTTCAAGTTTCATCAAATGTTCCACACGGTGAGTCTACTCATGCCCACATAAATATTCTCCTCTTTACTCTGACCATACGCTGGTTGATACACAAAATTAAATTAAGTTGGAAATGCTGATAGAAATAATTTTGCTACATAAATGTGTATATTAGAATATGTTTTTAATAGTTATTATCTCATATTAACACGATAATTAAATAGACGAAATTTGATTTGTATCATAATTATGTCAGATGTACATAATTTGTTAGAAACACAGCCTAACATCTGAGAATGTATGGGCCGCAAGACTTTTCTTTTTCTACCACGGCATGGTCAGAGAGGCATTTGTAGCATTAATTCCATGTTAATTTGTGTTGCAATCTGCGTATGGTAAGAGTCACAGAATTATATATTTGTGTGGACAAGGCCTTTGCTTCTCTGTGGAAACACGTGACTTGTGGTTTGCTATTAAGCACATCCACGCGGAATGAAATCAATAATCTGTCAGCGACTTTTCCCTTTTTTGCAACCCTTTTTTGGGTGAAGAAAGATGACGTCCAATACCGGAGCTTAACATTTGAGTTCTTAGAGAATTTCTCTTTTACTTTTCAATAAAATTTAGCATTTTCCGAACGAATGGTCTATCTTAGTATCTTTACCTGACATGAAAAGAGTTTAATTCTTGAATTGGCATCAAATTGCTACCCTCGGATAAGGAATGTAAGCATCTTAAAGTGTTTCTGAACGACAGATGTAATTAATAAGGTGTTTCTTATAAGGGCAAAAGTTGAGGAGGTGATATTATGTGACTGTTCTGTGACCTAAAATACATGCGAAACATTCCAATAGCATATTACGGTAGGGAGTCCAGAATAAGTCATTTTTGTACAAATCTTTTACCATTTACCTTTGAACATTTCTAGGCAAGTTTCTTTCACATATCTGTAGAAAATTAATACACTGACCTTGATATCGAATGAGAAAAATAGGAATTCACATACAAACGTGCAAATGCATAAACTCCATTGACATGACCTCGTGGCGTTCTAAAAGGACGTTTTAATATCAGAAAAATATATTACTGATAATTGTATAGGTTTAAACGCTTGCAAAAGATGTGTCTTTCATATAAATTCTATTTAATGTCTTGAGTCAGAATTTGTATTAAATATACTACATGTAAAAATGAGGAGATGTGAGGTTTATGGTTTCAGATATAATTTACAAATATCCAATAAAAATGTAGCTTAGTAGCCATCAATTGGGTGGAATTAGATAGATTAGTGACACAAATTTTATGGATAGCATGATTACTATTGAAATGAATTATGAGACTCCGACATAATTTATAAGAGTCTTTAAGACATCCTTCAATATCTAACAGTTGAACATTATTGAAAGACTGTTGAAATTCTTTTAATTATAACTTCCAGAATGCGGACATTTTCATTACAACGTATCTATAATAATTATAACAATTAAGCTTTTTAGCCTCAAATTTATATCTGCTCTTCTCTCTCTCTCTTTCTCTCTCTCTTTCTCTCTCTCTCTCTCTCTCTCTCTCCTTCTTTCTCTCCCTCTATCTTTCTCACCCACTCTTTATCCACGTATACATACGTACACACGCGCAATCTTTAGGCCTACTCTTAGCTGCCTGCGGGAAACTCTAACTCTCGATATTAACCTTTATAATCTATCCCCCCCAACAAAAAAGAAGGTTTTGGGAAAAACCTGAAAGAAATCGAACTCCTTTTCTGTTTACACCACAGGTAGAATCCCCCGATACGTTTGTGAGGCCAGTGTGGTGATACCTCTGGTGCCGACCCGGATCGTATCACTATCTACTGGGACCAACCTTTGATCGGCTCAAAGGTCGAAGATGAAGACACTCGTCATTCATGGGTTGTGGAGAGGATAACACCACAGAGGTTGGAGGTAATGCCACACATGTTGGTCGCTCTAGGTCCTCCATTTTAATAAGAAATGTATATCCTGACAGGAGAGTTAAGATGTAAGACGAAGAGCAGAAGCACGAAGAATGAGATGACAACGATCAGGTAAAGCTAACCAACGCGTAGTTCGGCAGAGACAGTGTTAAACATACGTATATTGCTTTTAAACACACGCACACATTAACGAACATTTAATGTCCTCACTAAATGCATTGAGGAAGGAGGAGTTAGCGGTCATCCAAAGGAGAAATGCCTTCAGGAATCATTTGATCTGGTCGACTGGATGTTTGTACTTTCAAGCCATTTAAGACCTACATTCTCAAGTCTCATCAAAATAAAATAAAATGCACGACGAGAGCTTGGCTTTTTCGATCGTTGGTGATCTGAATGTCAATGGTTTATCATTCCCTTTCTAGGGATGAAAAAAGAGCTGCTATTGACGAGTAATAATCTCCTTTCCCAACTTATCATTACATCCTGACAAGATTTAGAGCGTTCTTAATGACAACCTCTTTGATTTGAGTACATCTCTATTTCGGATGAACCAAATCTTGCCATTGGGATGAGGCCCAGCCTTTGCAACCGCAGTTAACCCTTCCAAATATAGTTGAATCTTAAACGAGCTTGTCATGTATTCATTAATGCTCATTATGTTCTTTACGTTGCATTTTCCTTTTTTCTGAGTTTACTTTTCAATTCGTGATTTGTTTCGACATACACAATAGAATGCTGATAGATAAAAATGTCAAATGTTCATTTATTACATAGTCAATAAATCTAAGCGGTGATTCATTCCGCTGTCAAGAAAAATGAAAAATTATTATCCTTGCCCGGGAACCACAATGAAGGGCTAAACCATCCTCACTGGGAGGTATTCTGCTGAAAAAGATGTGGGGTGCAAGACTGAGTTCATACGACAGATGGATTCCTTGAGGGTTTAGATCAAGTATCAGCTTGAATCAGCCGGCAAGAATCGATGCTTGATCTCTTCATCCGCAGATATATCGCTCTTTATGCCCTGTGTGGAATACAATTCCTACCGCGGAATCGGTAAGCGTATCCTTTGGTTGAATCAAATGATTTATGAGTCCACCAAAACAAGAGTCTATTTCGATTCTTCGTAAAAATGTTAGGCTCAAGGCATTACCGTTTGAAAGCCATCAGATATAATTTGCAAAGCTTCGCATTACCATAAACAGTAATATTGAAATCATAAGCAATCAATATATTATCGATTAAATGTCCAGGAATATCCATCAGTTTATCTATATCACTAAGTTTTCAATGGTATGTAATATATATCAACACATCAAGGCAATGAGCTAGTATACACTTACAAAATGGGACGACATTGATTAGCATGAACGGAGCTAATGAGGCAATGCATGATAACTTTTCTAAGCGAGGCATTCGTTCAAAGCAAAGATCACAATTCCAAAATGGCTCGGAGGCAGCTCGCAAAAGGATCGTGGCAGTACCACAGTAACGTACTTGACAACCATACTATACAACGTTTTAATATTAGTCTGTAGGCTAAGACCTTCCATCGGCCACAGTGACACATCGTCTACCCTTCTCGCTTCATGCTCAGGAGATATCACCTCTCTGTTTTCATATCGTATTTGACAAAACACGGCCAACTTTGTGACATGAACAGAATCAATACTCTCTTTCCTTCAGAGCAGTAGGTTCAGTGTATGCAGAATACATGTCTTGAAATCACCCAGGCGCCTGCGGAGCTAACCCTTAGAAATCAATCTAGTAGCGTTTCACACCCTTTCAAAGCACTCCATCTTCGAGAGTCGGAGTATTTATCTAGAGCGTGTGGATAGATAGCCTGAGTGTCCGTCAACATCAATGATTTCCATGCCGACATGGGCCCATACGTGACATGACATCACAAATGGATGGGGATACTCAAGAAAGGACGAGTGGTTATCCGTAACAGACAAGAACGCATGATTGCATCGGAACTCTCAGAAAGTCTCTACACATGCCATGAACTATGAGAATTCGATCTCAAATGGTACTATTGTTTGTACAACTTTTTGATATTGTCCGTAAAGATGTGTATATTGGAACTTTTAAGCAAAAATTGCTATTGTTTACTGTGTTATTTTTTTTAATAGTGTTTATCTTACTAAAACGCACCTCAAAGAATATAATTTCTTCATGTTTTGCTAGTTTTATTGATGAATTTTGTAATATCTGGACTTTTCGTAATAACGACATAGTTTTAATAGTAACATTAAGCATGTTAATGAAGACTACTTTGTGAGCGAAGGAAGAGACGTGATATTAAGTTAACGTTTGTCGCATAATCATACCGATCTAAAAAGATGCTTGGAACCTACAATAAAAGCATACTTACTTCTGATAAAATTTGATGTATTCTAAAAGTCAGCCGAAATGTTTTCTTCTTCAATCTTGTAGTTTATTGTAAAATATCATTAAACATATTTTCCGGAATTATCTCTATTGTGAATATCTTCTGCTACCCACTTTTTAAAAAATTTATCTTTTGAAATGATTTAACTGTTGCATGTATATTTGAAAATTCTAACATCAAGTAACTTGTCTTTTATTCCCAACTCATTTTAGCACATCTTCGTGGTCCGAGTAAAGATATTTATGACTCTCTACCAAGTCATATTTTCGAATTAATATCCGGTCAAATCACTGTTGACAAATGTTTACGCGGCGCAACCAAGCGATATTCTTGACGTCCAAACATCCAAACCTGCATGACCTTCTCTTGAATCTAAGGTGAAACCTTCCCACTTCACAAGTGGTCAATTAAAGTATGGCGTTTCATTTTCTGGCTCAACTGAGTCACGCTCCTCCTTAAACTCTAGAAACCGAGTGAATACAGGAGCGCATAGATATGTATGTCACTGATTGATAGTGACATGCGAGAAATCAAACGCCGGTGGGGAGTCGGAATTCAAAGCAGCGCATTCATTCGTCTTTTTCAAATATGATTACCAACTACTTTTACAAAAAAGACACACATAATTGTTTTCCGTCGCCGATAGTTTTCACATATCTCGGCACATATCGGACTTCTCTGTATAGGTGGCAAAACAATTTGGAATATTAACAATGCGCTTTTGGCATTTCCTCTGATGAAACATCAGTTTTCTGAAAACGTTTTTCCTACACGGCTTTGTTTCTCTTTCGAGAGGTATTTTGACCGGGCGCATTTTCACGTTCAGTTAGAATATTTTGCATCTAACGGACGGGTTTCTTTGTAAATTTGGGGGGAAAGGGCTTTGTGATAGATGAAGCAATTTTAGAAGTAACGTCATACAAGGTTCAACTACCTACAGGACTAGAGTTCGCGGTTTTCACTTGATTGTCTCACGTAATCTAAACCCATGTGGATAAATTCAAGCACGATCGCAAAGACTTTCGAGAAATCAAATCAAGGTCAATTTGCATACCCTGCTATACATGCCATAGAAACGATTTTTAGATAAGTAATACATCATTGTATAGTTCGCAGATTTGATTAATAAGACCACTGAATTCGCCTGGGTTGATTTTTTTCTTCTTTCGAAGGTCTTTGAGATCGAGTTTAAATTAGATTGAATATGGATAAGCCACCTATTATACCCCCAACGAAGCAATCATTTAAGAACATTTAATCTAAAACGTCTACTATGTGATAGGAAGAGGCAGGGACTTAACCTGGTTGGTTAATAGCGCATGATCACGTGGTGTATTCCATTTACCCGATCCCGTCATCGTATCAATGGAAGTATCGATTACTTTGGTGGCGTCTGACTAATTCCCAGCTACCCATTACCTTTAGTGAATCGGAGCATGAATATGATGATAAAATGTTCAATGTCATTATGCTTGATGAAAAACAAATATCAGCCCTCCCGGGAAATATTCTGACGTTTATGGATTTATTCAAATATGTTTATAAAGGATACAAAACATCAATAATGTAAATGTTTTGCATCTCAGTCCCAGTACTAAAAACGTAGCAACATGAACATACGAAGAGTTTTTTTTTTTAAAGTAATAACGCTTTTACAAGTAAAAATTAATTCGCTGGAAGAAAAAAAGCATAAAATCATGATAAAAGCATGATAACTTTAAAGATCATATCCGAAAGATGTTTTGTCATCTTCATCTACATCTTGGTCGTTAATAATGGATTCAGTGGCATAACAGGTGAGAGGAAGATAAGTTTTTATTGACTGAAGAGAACATTCATGAAATTGTTCTCTCTCTCTCTCTCTCTTTCTCTCATTCCTCCTTTCTTTCTTTCTCTACATGTAGTGTGAATAAAATGATTAAATAGCTTCGTTTGTTACTTTTTTTACCCCCCCCCCCCAGGTTAGTGTTTAACTTGGGTTCTCCTGCTAATTTTAAGTTTATGACGGTACTCTGAATATGACCTTTATCTTTCGTCATCTAACAAGAATGGACAATGAGCAGAGTTTTGTAGCGAGATTACAAGATTCATTCAACTTTCTCATAGTATACTTAATTCATGATGTTAATGAAAAATAATCTATTAAAGCATGAAAGATACAACACTAAAAGCAACATAAATGATGTTTTGAATGCTATTAAGGAAATGCCAACGCTAAGACATACGAAACACGGAAGGAATACACTAACTATGTAAAATTTGAACTACCTAACATTGAATGAAGAAGGAAGAAATCATCGCTGTGTAAAAAAAAAACTAATTAATACTATGACTGCTTCAGTTAATCTGGATTCGAAAAAATGTGTGCAACTCTTGCGATCTACACCTTAACATAAATGATGATACCACGCGAGAAACAGTAATAAAATCGCATTTTCTGACATGACCTTTCAATTGTTTTTAAACCTGTCCTCCTGTATTTGCCACGTAGTTTGTTTGGCCTGTTCGTTCATCAACTATTGGATTTTTATTGCAGTTTACCTGTACAGTTTCATTGAAAAGTGAGATACTATTGAGAAGATATGGGGCGCCTTTCAAGGGGTCTCAAACCGATCTCTGTGTCGAGAAGGC